GTAAGATATACATAGTACGTCACAGAGTTGCCAATTCGTGTTCGATCGATTGCAAAGCACTTTATAAATTCATACTTTTATTTTATAATCGGATTTTGCTCAAACTTTCACCGACCTGGCTAAATAATTTTTCCTGAGAAAACAATAAATAACTGTAATAAAATTTAAGGAAACGTTCACAGTGGGATTCCGAAGATGCGTAATTCCGACAATGAGAGATGGTTCTATGGCATTTTCGAAATTATGAACCTTTGGAATAATGAACCTCATTTCAGTTTCAAAAATAGGAACCTTCGAGAATTTTTTTTTTTAAAAACCATAACCCTTATCCTATATTTGATGATCTTAAGCCCGGTGAAGAAGAAAAAAGGCGCTTGATCGTGTTTTGGCTCACAAATATTCATAGACGGTAGATGCAAATCTAATAAAAATAAAGATGGAAAAGAACGATATAAATATTTAAAGAAATAAAACACAAACTCCTAGCTCAAAGGATACCGAAATCCATTTGACACGACTGTGGATATACTTACCGTCTCCGAGACAATGATCTTAGAATAATATGCACATGTCAATACAATAAGACATATATATCTTGGAAATTCCATTAGTTTTGACCTTCAATTAGTACTGTAATAGATATACTTGAAAGAAAAATAGCAAATTGTAGAGACCCCAGATCACAAGGCTTTTTGTATCCATGGTTACTTTATTGTTTGGGTTTTGCAATATTGAAAAATATAATCTTAACAATAACCTTGTGCATGCAGGTAACATGATGTGAAGCGTGTATAAATCTATTAATAGACATATACACGAGTCTAGCATCTGGACAGTTATATCTTACATAAAAAGACCTTAAAAAGCTGAGGCCTATACTCGGATTATCAGATGATAGATCTGGGGGGTGTTTCACAAAGACTAAGATCGACTATGGTAGGCCGTTCATGCCACTGTTTTTTCTCACCATTTACTGGCATTGGTCTCTCAAGGGACGTACAAATAATCACGGTCACAAATCTACAGAATCTATATTTTTTTGATAATTCCTTATTGAAGGAAAAAAATATTACCTAAAGATAATAATGGTGAGAGCAAACAGTGACATGCACGGCCTGCCATATTTAAGTCCAACTTATAGTCGATCTTAATCTTTGTTATACACTCCCCTGGCGTATATCCTAGATTAAAGGCAAAGTTTAACAATGTTAAATCTGAGATGCATCGACCCGTACGTGTTATCAGCGTCTGTGATATGGTGTTATATTGAAGCCCTAAAAAAATGCGTTTCAAAATGATCATGAAAGGCCTCAAAAAAGAAAAAAATCTTTGAGTGACCAGTTTTAACGTACCTATTTTCCCCCAATAGACTGCAGTGTTATAAAAACCGTTAGGAAAACGGTTTTTGACATTTCGATTGCCAATCATAAATATCTTGATAATCAGACAGGCGATCGGCTTGTACAAGTCAGATGATTCCTTACTGACCTATATGTTTATAATTATGATTGCAGCATGAGCTAAATCCAGGATTTTGTTTCAGAAAGTCACTTTAAGGCCGGAAGTATTGAGACGGGATCTCTCACCGTTTCACAAATCTTCAATCAAGGATAATAATAATATTAATAATAATAATAATAATGATAATGATATGTCTTGTTCACCAAGGGGATCCTCATCAGTAAGAGTACTGTCCTTTCCAAGGGCTCTGCAATCATAATATAAGGATATTAATAACTTGACCAATGAAAAAAAATAGTCATCAAACTTTAAAGATAAACTTTAGTACTGGTAATGCGATGCATTGTGCAAGAAAAGGTGTGGAAAGGATCAGAAACAGTTGATCATGTAGCATGTAAGTATTGGTGTGCACTGCAAGGTTCTGGAGTCATCAAAATCATAATAAATTTGACCGAGCCTTGGTAAAGTAACAAGCACTGTACACAGAAAGCTATATGGGACAACACACATGGTGTCGGGGCTAGTACTACCTTGATTTTCTTGTCTTTCTATGCTCATTACTCAGCCAGTATTAAGATTCTTCCAAAATGGTTTTGCACATGTCATTTATTTGTAATCTTGAACATTCAGTGTAAGTTTCGTTTGATTCTGTGAGAATTAATTTTCTTCTTTTTTTTTTTTTTACCAGAACTGGAGTTTATCTTTAATCGGGGTGATAGTAGTCATCTAAATATGATAACCACTTGAGCAACGCTCAACATCATCGTGCTGTAATTATGACCGAGAATGACAGACGAAAACAAGGGAGGCACTTGTTTTTTCCGAAGGTTCACTACTCCGAATTCTCATAATTCCGAAACACAAATTGTCCATACCAGGGGCTTCAGATCATAATTCCGTACATTTATTGCCCAATATATTGAAACAATATTTCATGTACTTTGCGGAATTATGAACGCTCCTTCTTTTTCCAAATCATAGGCAAGACTGATATTCTACTACCTTTTTCTACACAAACCGATTTTTTAATTCTCGGAAAACACACAGTTTTTCATCAATGCATTTCACTTTGAGGAATCAAATAGAATTTAACAATATCATTAATATCTACATTTGCTGACAACACATTTGTAAATTGCTCTCCGTGAAATTTGATAACATAACATTTAACACATTTGTTGTTGTTTTTGGTTTCATTCACACACAAAAGAAATAGTTTGCGAAACATAAGACACATTTGTGTTATTTTTCCCATTCGGGATGTACATACATTTAAAACGCATCGCAGAATTCTGTGCAAATATACATGTTTCTATTTAATGTATACACTTAATATATAATACTGCATACAAATAGATCTATTGTGTAGAATAACATTAATTTTCAACCGTATAACATATCCATATTAAAGTATTATCACCATGGTTATGACTCACATTGTGTTGCATACATATGAAATAATCATATAAAAATACTGACTGGCATTCCTTTTTGGTTAAATTATCGAAGTTTGGTTTATGATGTATAAATTCATGTATACAAAACTAATGACCGGTATTCATAAGAACGTACTAATTTTAGAGCAGGTTTATACTATATTTAGGCGATTTTCCTCCAATATAAGGAGAAGCAATAGCCGACCTCTTCTTTTCGCAAAAATTACCATAAATGTGTGACTAAAAAGACAAACTAAATCAATTAAGTGTAAGATCGCTTTTTCATCAATAATAACTGGATTATTTTTTGTTCCAAAATTAGATCAATTTCTATTGTACAGACCAATATGGATACTCTTTTAAGTGAATTGAGCTAAATCCCGTTTCGTCAAGTCTGCCTTTTTTTAAATGAAAAACGAATTAAAACGTTGATGTATGGTTTATTTTACGATATGAAGAAAGGTGGGTAGATTTTGGCCTAGAAATACACAATTTAACGAATATGAAAGAATTTAGATCTCATGAAAGGCAAATCTGACGTTCAACTCGAAAAAACATCCATCTTTTTACTATATGGATACATATTTATGTAAGAAACGATCTTACTCAAAAAATAAAAAGCGACTTTACAAGGTTACTGAATTGGGGGAGAGCGCCCGCTTTAGCTACGCTTGTGATTATGGCAAGCAATCTGATGACAGTAAAAAGTTACATTTTATCGTGTTTTTGCCACGGATTACATAGCTTACCCAAAAAGGCATCGATATTTTAATGTTGATAATAATTTTCCGTTGAATAATTTTTTTTATTCCTTTTTGAGAAAGACACTTTTTTAAAGAACACTTCTATGAAGTATGTAGCACCTTAAAACTTGCATAACATTATTTCTTTTCATAGAATGTTACTAGATTTTCTTGGAATATATTCAAATATATTATAACCTGCTAGAAGCATAATTCACAATTTTATGACAAGTTTCCTTCAGCATATTATGTACAAAAGAAGCATGGCTCCTGAATTTTCTTATTATTTTTCCTAATTGATTTTTAAACCTTCATTTACAACACAATGTTAAAAAAGGAATAAAACATAATTATCCTATACTTATATTTTGAAATAGGTATTTCACCAGTGATTGTTTGTTGGTTAATTGTTGGATATGACGTTGCTTTTTTTTTTGGCTATAATGTTTAAGGGCCATATATCCCATACGACATTAATCGATTGATTGATTGATTTAAAACAGGGTCAAACCCGGTGAAAACCCCACCGAGCAACTCGCCTGGTTCACAATAGGGCCATGATACAAATACAATTGAATATGAAATACATAATACAAATACATATAATAAAAAAAATACACAGCATTGAAATTAATGTATATTATGATGATTAAGGGTAATTGCATACAAATATTGCAGTAAAATGTACGTTGAATGAAATGGTATAAAGCGTGAAATATAGTGCAATATAACAAAATCGAATTACATTATATTTTGTATTCCAATGTAAATATAAATATAGTGTATAAAACGGCACAGAACATGTCATTTGATTAGCTGAAATATCCATACATATTTCACCAATTACTGAAAAACACCTTGTTATAATCACGACCAGTATTGAAAACAGAAAGCACCATTATTCCAAGGGACATGTCTTGCAAGGGACACCGTACATGGAGTCGACCATACCCCGGACCATACACACTTCCTTACTTAATTATTCACGCCCCTTGTCAATTTTATGTGTTGTTTTTTTCTTCGTAACTCAAGAATGAAAGGTGGATTGGTTGAATTAGGACCTTTGGTTAAAAATTTAGATATAAGCTCAATGAACATTAATTGGGACAAATCAAATTTTCATATACTTCAACAATTACGAAACTTGGTAAGGGCATACATGAAAAATTTAGTTGTTAACTGCAAACGTTTTAGTAAGGGTTAAAAACACAAACAAAAACGATGTTGATGAGAATATTTTTTTCACAGTCTCCCGATGAACTTTAAAAACAAAAATAAGAGAAAGAAAGACAGACAGACAGAGACAGAAAAGCTAGGAGATGAAGAAAGAGAGAGAGAGGGATAGAGAGAGAGAGAGAGAGAGGAGAGGAGAGAGATGTATACCTTTAAGCGAGGATATCTAAACGCTCACTATTATCAGGTAACTCGACTGCCATTGAAGACGGGAAACCACTGGTGTCATCGACGCTAGCTGAACCGTCACGGATGCCGTCTTCTGTTTCTCTGCTCTGCACTGTGTTCTGCTGTGGATGAACACGGGAAGAGTTTCCTCTCACGCTGTTCATCCACCAGACCAACGACGTCTCGGTCGAGATCGAGAAAGCTTTCCTGGCGGCGACGCGGAACGTCTCGCTACGGAGCGAGTAGATGAAAGGGTTGACGGCGCTGTTGAGGTAGGTCAACCAGCTGAGGATGGTACGGGGGACGAGCCCGGGAGCGTACTGCGGCGTGTAGAGGTCGATGAACACGAGCGTGTTGCTCGGGATCCAGGCGATGCAAGTGAACCCGAGGATGATGACGAGGGTCTTGATGGACTTGAGCTCGGAGCGTGGTCGATTGGTTCGCTGATTGCTGGGACCGACCTGCGGCATGATGCGACGATCGGACTTTAACTTCTGCAGGACGATAATGAAGAGGTGTAAGTAAAGAATGAACATGGTGATGAAGGGAATGATACCGTTGACGATGATGAAAAAGTGGAGATGGATGATATCGAAGACGGCGCCGAACTCGAAGCAAAATACCTGCCCTGGGATGAGAGAGTGGATCCCCGCGAAAGGCAGCACCATCGAGATGATGATGCTGTAGACCCACATACTGGTGATGGCGATGGCGGCCCCGCGCTCGGTCGCAATGGTGCGGTAGATGTAGGGGTGGGCCACTTTGACGTAGCGATCGAGGGTGATGAGGGTGAGCGAAAGACACGAAATGCTGGTCGAGAATATAATCGGGCACCACACTAATAGACACGTATATACGCCGCTCGCGAATGTCGGATTTAGAGTCAAATAGACACCAGGAATCATCGACAGCGAAACGAGCACGTCGGCAAACGCGAGGCTGACCACGAAAAAGTTCGACATCGTCCATAGCTGTTCGTTCTTCGTGACAAGGATGACGACCAAGGTGTTTCCGAAGAATATAACTATCAAGAGAATGATTTGGACGGCGATGGATATATTTGTCATGATGATGATGTAGGCCGGCAAGACCCAGCCGACATCGGAGCCGTAGCCATCGATGTCCGTCGGTGAGACACGATCTGGAAGTACTGTCCCATTTATGATGTCGGTGGTCGGTGTCGATGCATCAATTAACATCTTTAGCAGGGAAAAACAAACCAAGCTCTTTCAAATAACTTTGAAGAAAAATCCGCAATTTGTGTAGATTTTACAACATGCAACGATAATTTGATGAAGCAGGCTTTTGTAAGTTGATATTTTAACCGAATGCAGGCGATGCGTGGCCACTCAATAACTTGTTGCCCGGCGTTGAGTGAGCTTACAATTGAAAACTGAATCAAGAAGCAAATCTACCAACAATTTAATAATGAAAATTCAACAACAAAATCATAGAGTCAGCTTTGCAACTTAATTTAGAATACTTTCGCTTAATCAACCAGAAATTTAAGGAAGCAGTTTTGCGAGAAGAGACGAAAAGTAGAAAGCGGCAGAAATTCTTTGTTTGCGAGATATTTATCCAGGTTGCAGCCCTCTCTCTCGCGCCGTAAAGATTTACATGTACGCGAGTGAGATGGACAGAGCGCGACACTTTTCGCTGAAAGACTTACCGAAGTGCTGGTAATCAAATTGTGGACTGGTTGCCATTACTTTCATTTCGGTATGTTCATGAGGCGAAATGTCATGAGCTAACTGATTGGTGTATGCAGTATGAAAAGCTTATCATCATTTGTGACGCTGACGAACCAATCATAGGCCTCGGACGAGTCACGTGTTGCATTATGATATATTAACGAAGTCCCTGAAGTTCGTCGCGGTTTAACTCTCCTCCCCATCTACCGATTCTACCTCTCTTTCTTTCCCTCTCTCCCCGCTTTCTCTTTCCTTGTCTGTCTCATTCTCTCTTATTCTCTCTCTCTCTCTCCCTCTCTCCCTCTTTTTCATTCTCCCTCTCTTTCTGTGTCTGTCTCTCCCTCTCTCTTTTCATTCTCCACCCCCCTCTCTCTCTGTCTGTCTGTCTGTCTGTCTGTCTCTGTCTCTCCCTCTCTCTTTCTCAATCTCCCCCTCTCTGTGTGTGTCTCTCTCCCCCTCCCACTCCTCTCTCTGTCTCTCTCCTTTCACTCCGTCCTCCCTTCTTTTTTCTCTTTACTCTAGTATTCTAGCTCTTTAATTTTCCTTATATTTCCCGGTGCTATGCTATCTTTGCTCTCTCTATTTCTATCTCTAGTTTTAAATCCTTGAATATTGCCTACTCTCTTTTCGACGCTTACAATTACGGAAACCAAGCTACAAATGATCTCAAAAATTGATAGCCATGTCAGCAAACCCATTTGGAAAAGGGAAATATTTGAGATGGTAATGACGGACTGTCTATTTTTCCTTAGACAATTTGCATCATCGTTTTGAGTATATCAGTAGACCATTGTAACCCGCTGTCACACATGAAGGGGTAAAATTCTGTAAAGCTGATTAGTTTAAATAGCTTAAAAGTAATCAGATTTACGTATAAGGTTAAGGTTCATAAGGTTCATATTTGTTGTCCATTTAACAATGGAAATTCATCGTGTTACATGGTATTGCGATTCACATATATTTAACATAATACACTCATACAGAAATCAATAAAAATAAAGAAAAAAATAACAATCAAAACAAAGATATAGTCAAGACAAAGGTATAGTATGATATCATTCACACACAGTTGTTACGAGATTCATTGCGATAAGCGGCAAGTGTTTACTATCAGACAGAATGGTGCGATGCCGCGATCTAATTGGTCGGGGACGTAATATCCGTTCGTATCTGTCCGACCATCGTATATTTCGGAATAAGGGATATTTTAGTTTCAAAGTACTATGTCCCATTTGCAGGCTAAATAAATGAAAAGGTTAAATTCCAATGGCATTTGAATGATGAAACTAATTAGAACTTCCCTCAAAACGACAGGGCTTGAAAATGTCTTTAAGTGGGAAAATGACAACCATTAGTTGTCGAAGCGACTTTATTGATTGCAATATAAAGGTCTGATTTCCAGACCCTTGTACCTATTGGTCGTACGTTTGGAGCTCCGCAAAGATTTAATCAGTTTAATTTTGGCCATTACAAGAATGGAGTTATTGATGTAGACAAAATTGCTCATGTACCCTTTACAGCTCATGTTATGTATGTTATTACCAAATGCCTACTGTTATAAAATAAACTTGGAATAAAAATAACAAATCGTAGAGACCCGAGATCAAAAGGCTTTTTGTATCCATGGTTACTTTATTGTTTGAGTTTTGCAATATTGAAAAATGTAATCTTAACAATAACCTTATGCAGGTAACATTATGTGAAGCGTATATAACATGCTTTTTTAGTATCAACTACGGCCGACGGCTTTAGGTCCTCTCCGAGGGACCTGGTAATGAAGATTAATGCCTTTCAAAGGGCACTAGCGCATCACCTTGGTTTCGAACCAGGATCATCGGATTACGAGATCACTGCTCTCGTAACTGGAGGGATCCACTGAGAAGTAGGGCTTGTCGAATGTGGATCCCTCAAATAGAACGCTAAGCCGGTCTACTCCCGTCGATTTTAAGTTTAATCTTTAGAAACGCGCTGATATATCGTATTTTAATAACTGACAATCTGTCTCATATCTTAATGCGAGTAATATAACCGATTTGCTTATTCTACTGCCATACCTGGTATACTGCAAAGGGATTTGGATTCTCAGCATACGAAAGGTCATAGATTCATTCCTATAGCTTGGTGAGCCTCGAAATAGAATTTCTGGATAGACGGCGCCATACAAATGCCTATTAATATTATTATTATCATTATTATTTACATCCTTGGCCCTTGGGCAAGGTGTTTTTACCCACACTTGAACTTCTTTACAATTATTAGAAATTCGAATTGAAAGAAATATATATTAAAGGGATCCGGTATTTTTGTCTCAGATTCTGAAAACAAATCCTGGAGTTAGCTCATGCTGCAATGATGATTTTAAACTTTTAGGTCAGTCAGGAACCCCGTGACTTTTACAAGCCGATCGCCTGTCTGATTATCAAGATATTTATGAGTGGAATTACACATTTTGAAAACCGTTTGCTAACACTACAGTCTATTGGGGAAAACGAGTATGGTAAAACTGGTTACTCAAAGATTTTTACTTTTTTGAGGCACTTCTTGATCATTTTGAAGCGCAATTTTGTTTAGGGCTTCAATATTACACCATATCACAGAGACTGATAACATGTAGGGTCATGCATCTCAGATTTAACATTGTTAAACGATCCCTTTAAACGAAAAGTGAAAACATAGATTAAATTATAATCAGGGGCGCCACCGGGTAGTTTTTTTTCTTCAAGATGGTGGTCCCTGTGTTGCGGCACATTTTTTTGCCGTCACGTTTTGCAAAAAAATGCCGTCGACAATTTGTGCCGCAATTACGTGCCACACTACATTTGCTAACCAGTTTGCCGAAAAAATGTCAACAGTCGAGAAAGCAAAGGAAAATTTAAAAAAGAAGAAGACAAACAGAATGACAGAGAGAGAGAGACAGAGACAGGGAGACAGACATGCAGCGAGATAGAGAGGGTGAGACAGAGACAGAGGGGGAGGCGGAGGCGGTGGTCCTCATATGTGATTTTGTTGTCGTTGGTAAAGGTACTATGTCCCATTTGCAGGCCAACACAAATGAAAAGGTTAAATTCCACCCGCATTTGAAAGATAATACAGTTAACCCCCCCCCCCCCCTTTGGTATTTTTTATGTGTGTATTTTGGAGGACCCCCTCCCCCCTTTGTTTTTTGTTTTTTTTTTGTAATAAAAATAAAAATAAAAAAAATTATGCTAATGGCTGACCTAATAAAAAATTTGAGACACACACACAAAAAAGTGCCCTCTTACCCCCCCCCCTTGAAAAAATCCTACGTACGCTACTGTACATGTGCAGCTATTATACGGATTGCCAGAAAGGTTTCTTTACCCTGCGCTAGATCATCATGGTTTAAGCTTTTGACACCTGGGGGATATTGTTTACCCCAGATACTTTTTAATAGCCTACTAAAAATACCGAAGTGAGATGAGAAAAGCTGGGCCTTAATCCCAATTCCGACTATTTCTACATCATTTCGAAAGAATTTAACTTAAAAATGCATGAACTGGTTGAATAGCAGCTAGAAATAAATGTTTTATTAGTTGTAGGTTGCGAGTAGTTCAATCGAACATTAGAATATAAAAATATAAGAGTGTATATCCTTGTGACATCTCGAGGTTACATCCATGAAAGTGGAAAACAAGGTCGAATGAATTTAACTTAAAAATGAATGAGCTGGTTGAATAGCAGCTAGAAGTAAATCTTTGATTAGTTGCAGGTTGCGAGTAGTTCAGTCGACGATTATAATATAAAAATATCTAGAGTACATTTACTTGTAACACTGGAGGTTAAATCCATGAATGTGGAAAAGGTCAAATAAACACTTGAAAATAAGCTTCAGATCAATTACGCGCATGTAGAGATTCTTGTAGTCCCATACATTTGGATATTAAAAGGAACTAATAAAATAGCAAACCGGTGATGGAACTGCAATTCTCGAGAGAAAAAACATCCGAAGTTTTAATGATAGTATTTTAATAACAACAACAATAATATTAATATTAATATTGAAATAAGAGTAGTAATGATAATAATTATAATTATAATAATACCAATAATAGTTATAATAATAACAATAATAATAATAATAATAATAACAATATAACAAATATTTAAAAAATATGATAAGAATGATGATCATTATGATTATGATAATAATTATATAAATATCCATAATATAATATTGTATTAGATTAACTATGTTCTAGCTTGCGACGTTTCACGTCGACTTAAAATAAAAATAATAATTAAAACAAATAATAATAATAACAGTGGGTTCTTGTAAAACGCTCAGGTATGGTACATTGCCAACCTGGCGCTCCATTATTATTACACTGGCTTTAGAATTGCCGCCATTATGGCACTCTATCAAGTCCAGAATCATAAATTTTCTTCTTCAATCTGAAAAGTCTTTTAGTATATTCATATTGATATCGAGGACGAAATGACCTCGGATGACAATGTAGTAAATTAAAGCCCCTCTCCACTAGTTTGGCCAGGAGGGATTAGACCTCCATGCAAGGTCACTGACAGGTGGTTATCTCATCAAATCAGCTCTCAATTGACATTTGAAAATGAGGATCATGGGGGAACAATGGTCACTGATTAGGTAGTGCAGTGGGGCTTTGAAACATATATTTGAAAGAGATAATTATCGCTTAGAATGAAAAAATCTAACGAAAGCGAGATAAAACTATTTAGGCGATCACACAACTAAATAAATTTGCCTTTTTATTCTGATAAGCACTGGCGTACTGAGGGGGGGGGGGTGAGCTTTGGGGGCGCTAGCCCCCCCCCCCCCCCCCACCCCCTTAATAAAATTAAACCATGACTTACACTGTATTTTCAATTCCATACAAGTGATACCACATGATTTTCAACAAAATGCG